AAAAATGATTTAATGGCAGCAGCTAGTTTTGTGTTAGATAGGGACAGAGAAAGGCTGATACATATGCAATACAACTTACAGCTAAAACCTGTCACTATATAGGTCTTGGTGTCATAACAACAAAGTGACACATCACAGGATAGATAGGTTAGGTCACGCATCGTATGTTGGAAAGGCAATATATTTGACATATAAATGAAATCTGCATCGTGCGTAGGGAAGTACAAATGTATATTATTTCTTTACCAGGTCAACATGAGTGTATTTTGTATTTAACAATGCTTGTGCTACTACTGCCCCAGTCCATACCTTGTTTAGATGGACGGATCGTCATCTCTGGAGTGTTGACGGACAGTGGCGCCCCCATGCGGAAGAGTTGCAGGAGCATCACATTGACGGGAAGTACGGTCAGCATAGTCATGAAACTGATGTACAGCTCCTATGTAAACAAAAATAAAATAACAAATCAATACGTTAAGTGTCTTAACAAACATTACAGTCACTTAACTTTGATGCAACTAATAAAACAAAATGCAAGAAGTATATACATATATATCAAACATATAAAGTTACATGGAAATATTACCTCAACAGTGAAACGGACAAATCCCAGGTTAAACACCCTTGCGTTAGCAGTTGTGTTCTCTGCCTTGTACCACATGGCGCTGGCCAGCATCATGGTGTTCACCAGAGTAAAGCAGCAGGACAGACGCTGGGCCTTGGTGAAGCTGGACCCTACAGATATTATAGAATGAACAATGCGCACATTTGATGAGCTTTCCTTTGTCTGAACTGTATATCAGTATATTTGGAGCTGAAATTGAGGTGTAGATGAAAAGACCACGCTCTCCACAACACTGTTATTGATACGTATTCTTAGTAATAAGTGGATTTAATTTTGCACATCTTTTAAAGATTTCCTAACAAAAGTCAGTGTGCTGTTCTTATGTCACAAGAGGCAAATAGTGCTGTCTATCATGCCCCCGCCCCCCCAAAAACGGGAATCGAACCAGAAACGCCAGCTCATGATCCAACGCACTGACCTCTAGGCCAAAAGGACTGGACCCTTACAGACGAGTCAGTAATAGCACTTAAACCCTACTGTAACACTGCTACCTCTTTTCTTTTGAACTCGTTCTCGAATCTAAAGTACTAGGAAACAGTCATCCATGAGGCGGGAGTAGAAAGAGAGAACCCTACTGTCACCCTCGGGGATTGGACCCGGGGGAACAGCTCACGAAGCCAACACCCTAACCACTAGGCTAAGAGGCCAAGACCTGAGAGACAACTGAGTTGAGAGCACTTGAATCCCAATGTTACATTTACATTACAAAAGCACTCCGCACAACACTCAGAAATCATAACAAATCCTGAATTAACATATTCATTGCCTAACAAGGATACTGACCAGGCGCTGCTACAATGACAGATGCCCACAGCTGTTTATCATACAGCACATCTCTGGCTGCTTCATTGACGACGTTGGTAAAAGATGTCAGTTCCTCCTCGGTGCTTGAGTGAACCACCCTCTGCACTTCACCGTCCCCTTTCTCTGTCGACAACCAGTCATTGCAGATGAAGTAAGATCTGTGAATTGAAGGAAGCCGGTTTAATGAGGCCATGTTTGTATACCATTCGTTTTCTGTCCTCAGCAATACTACATGTTTCTTTCGAGACAGGAATACAAAGGAGGCTATTAAAAGAAACATGCCATTTCATTTCAACCATGATGCAAAACTTTCCTCCCGTTGCTGTCCACATTGGAAGAGACAGATGAATTGTTAGATGACAAACCCAACATGCCAAGATTAAGTAAAGGCAAACTTGAGCATTGAGACAAGTGTAGCAAAGAAGCCAAACCGACGGAACAATCAAACAAAAGCCGGTTCGTTTATGTATTTTACGTCTTACACAACATCCTTTTCTACATCTCTGACGACAAAACTTCCGAGGAACCAGGATGCCGTGTCGCCTTCCCCAGAGTTATCATGCCAGATGTGCAACAACATCACTTCTCCAAGTGACTCTTGCACAGGCATGACAAAATGCAAAGTGCTTCCACGAACCAACTCCTGTAATTACCAATGACAAATGACAGTCATAGATGGTATGTTGGCCTATTCTTTCTACAGTTTCCATTTTGAACTTGCTTTGCTACAATGCAAGAATATATGTGAAAAACAATCAGCGTTGGAATACGGACTATAATTTCTTCCGTTTAATTTCGCTATTGGCCTTCAGTACCCTGCACATGATAACAGTTTTTGTCATTCATGTACGCAACTAAATCAACAAGGTGACAAGGAATATTCGCAAAAAAAAGACAGGTACTCAAGAAACTGGATATGATTTTGGAAACGGTAAGACGTTTCAAGTACTATATTCTTTACTCTTCAAATTTACCGGTTTTCAATTATTGTGTTTGAATAAAATTATGTTTCTTTGCTAGTATATATATGTTTAGATATTTGATGTAACTGACAAAATAATACCGTGTAGCTCTTGCATAACACGTCCTGCAAATTCGTGAAAAATGTTCAAAGGAAAAGGTGTAAATAAAGAAAAAGTAACAACATCACCGACCTCTCCTCCTGGGTTGAGCATCTTGACTGGAGATGTAGCCTCTGACCCGAAGAGTTGGAGTCCGATCCGTGAGGTGGTCCCTGCCCCGAACATGGACCCGGTGGTGACCGTGAGCTGATAGACGTGAGGTGCCGGCATCCTGTCTGGCGGGATCAGACTCACTTTGGACCGAGGCTTAGGAGCCTTCTAAAAATTTATGACAAAACACAGCTTACTTTAAGCTTTCGCAAGATACAAAATTATGAATTGAATTATGACGTCTTTGTTAGATACATGAATTATTCCCTCTAATATTTAGAGAGATTGCATGGACTAAAACATATGTGCCTTTAAAAATTATTAAAACGTTATGTGAACAGACATTTAAACGTTTTAGAAAGCGAATGAATTGTGGCAAGAAACTTTAAGTTGAAGTATTTAATTAATGAAATGAGTACATAGTAGGGCTGTTTTATCTTAATTATGATTCTTTTTATATCGTATGTATGTCTTCTTTTGAGGGCCGAGGTTTATATGATAATAACAATGACAAATGAAAATATATACCTTGTTTTGTAATGCATTATGTGTTGGTCACGGCAGAAGCAATAGCAATCTCGCATGTATTGTATTGCTACAATTCCAATAAATAAAATCAAGAAGCTCAAACATACCCTTAGACGGTGAAAGTCCACGCACAGAAGAACCATGAGAAGGAGGTACAGGATGAACACAGACACCACGATGGAGAACACTACGGAGTTGTCGCTCAGATGGAGGAAGTTCTGGAACGCGTTGATGAAGTTGATGGAGTTGGGAACTGGAAGAGTCATGGTCCCCACAGAAACTTTCCATTCCGACATCTGACACCTGCAGCTGATGGCTCCATTCTCCAGGTTAATGGTGGCCTGTTTCAGGTGAAATGTGACAGAAATATTTGTGTAGCAGGAACATTATCCTATTAATACATAATTATCTTTGTCCATATATTATGCCCGTGTTTTGATTTTCTTTCCGTAATTTGGAAATGGTTTAGGGACATTATGATGGCTTACGTTTGAGGTCTTATTTATTTAATAGTTACTACCCATGCTTCTCTTTCTGTTGTCTATTTTGCTCAGAATTTGTTTCCATCATTATCATATCAGAAACGCGTTCATTGTAAGAGACCATTCAAGCTACCCTGTGGTGTCCTTTTGATAAGTAAGTCCAATACCGAGCAGACCAAATTGTATCGTAGTGGTTACAAATGCCTCAGTTTGCATTTTTTTTTGGGGGGGGGGGGGTTAGGGTTAAATGATATGCTTTGTTATACCATGGCGGCTAATTTAATTCACTTACATTACAGTCTTCCATCATCCATTGTTTCTTATTGTCCTTCCAAGACGAGCAGCCTACAGCTGAGAAAGATAGTTGGTAGTCTTTCTTGTCCTGGATCTGTGCGACAGACTGCTGACCACTGCCAGAGTTAGCCGGCCCTGAGAATGGCATACATATAGATTAATTTCTGTGGCCACAACAATTGCCTAAAAAATGTGAAATGGAAACAAAATGCGTCCTAGATTTTGTATGTTTCAACAAGGATCTCAGTACATATGAAAAGTGGACGTACCTAACTTCTGAACTCCAATATACAAATGCCCGCCATGGCCAGTCGTGTTGGGAATGAAGGAGGTCGAAAAGTTTGTTCCCTTGAGCCAGGACTCATAATCGTTTTTCTGGATGACTATCTTCTCGGAAAACAGTTCTGCTGTTGGAAGGGATCCGTGCGAGATGTACACGTGAAATATCGCTTCTACATCCCACCAGTTCATATGCACAACAGGGATGACATTATCGTGTGGAACACTGAAGGCGTGGTACACCATAGCTGTGCCGTTACTGTTTCCTTCCGTCTTACTTGGGGTTTCTGTCGTTACATGTGGCCGGTCGGCTGGTTGTACTGTCTCTTGGAAGGGTACAAATGGCATGTTCAGTTCTACCTCTCTGTTTTTGCGATGGCTTCCGGGTTCCTTTGAGTCTACAGTCAGGAAAGTCACCGAGGACGAGATGTTTTGTCCTCCTGTTGATTCACTCCAGGAATATGGATTCTTTTTGGAAACTATCATCTGTAATACGAAAGTTTTTCTGTTCAATGCTCTTGAATATATAATGACGTAGCTTTCATTGCAGACTCCGCTTGCCTTTTCTTTCCATTGTCAGTTGTGCGTGTTTTACTCAATTTAATGGGTTCTGATAACCAACCCTGGCTGGTAAAGCAACATTTTTCAAAATTGAGAGAAAAAAAATACCAGGTATTGCTATTACAATAATTCTCCGAAGCCAGGATAAGTGATCTAAAAGAAACCGTTACCTATTGCCTTATGAAAAGGGGTAAAATTGTAGAGGGCACCACGAAGTAGTTGAGTCTACCTGCCTTAACATCCTGCATGTGATGTGTATGAGCCCCGGTTTGTGTGGATAAAATATTTGCCACAATATCACATGAGTTAAGAAGGAGGTCCTTGTCTGAAGGAGATCGTGCCACAATAACACAGACGCTTTTTGTTTCAAAACGTGAGTGATATTCTCCACCCTCGGGCTGCAGCGCCAACAGTGTGTCGGCTACCTGGTCCAAAGATGCCACGATAGACTGCGACGCCCTTTGTTGCTTGAAATTGAATTGAAAGACGCTAAATGTTATCAAAAAAGGAGGATGGAAGGTTTGTATTCCTTGTTCGCATATCAAGAAATGAGGAAACCCAAGAGTGTGCTGGTTTTCTCTATATCTAATTAAAACATAAACAACAAAGCATAAATCTAAATCTATAAATTACAGTATAACGATAACAAAATATAGTTTTAATTAACAATTAGAATAACAAATAATAACAACTACGTTATCATTCGATAACATAAGTAAGCGGTAATTAAGGAAAAAACTATAAATTATAATATAACAATGGTAATACATGGCTGAATCAACATTTCAATTAACAAAAAATAACAAATGGTAACAATTACGTAAATATCTAATAACATAACTGATAACGTACTCCAGATGAATAATTGCTTATTAATGTTGATGAACGGAACAGAAGCTAAGCATAAGAAGGTTTGAGCAGTAAACATGCAATTGCCACATTGGGTTGACAGATTTAATGTTGGTGCAATGTTATTAAATATAAATCAAGTATATCACACAACATGACATCAGATAGATTATTACCATGCTTTGCTTTTCCTCCTGTTTTTCTTTCAACATCTTTAGCTGCTGCTTGGGGGAAATTTCAGGGTCACTCATGTCGATGACATCGCTTTCAAACAAGTTGTCAGAATAGTTTATAGTTTGTGTTTCCTGTTCTGGTAACAAATCTACAACTGCTGACGCCGTCTGCACCAAAGCTGAAACAGTAAATGGTTGAAATGAAAAAAAAAGCAAAAAAAACCTATCAATCAGTAAAACGCACTAACTGCATTGGCATTATTTATTTATATTATGAAAGACCGGGACGCATGTGATACTTTCCAATTCAGAAGAAATGGGTTATGTAGAATCAGATGGAACAGGAGTGAAATACAGAGTGATGCAGATTCAGGTAGGATGAATGTAGGATAAATAGGGAAAATTGGGATGTATAGTACTACAGCCAATATAAGCTAGGATGTCTGTAACAGCACGCGGAGACGTATTTTATAAAACGATAACGCTGCATAATCAAATTTAGTCAGTTTGTCTATAGATCGTGTGTGTGGACACGCATTTACATACTGTGACTAATAAATCGCAAAAGAGAGCAACTGTAAATGATTTTCACCATCGGCAATGGTCTCCATCTTCTCTACTGATACACCCTGTAGTCCTCTTGCGGCAGAGGCAAGGTTTTCTGTGATCTTCGCCGTAGTTTGCTGTCAAGAAAAGATACAATGAAATAACTTAAAACAATGAAATAACTTAAAGGTATGTAATTACTCTCTATTGTTTAAAACCGGGCGTTAAGAATTCTACCTGTGCGCGTATAATGTATATATTCAACATGCTGGTATCCGTTAGCGTATGGTAATGTGTTTTCCCAGAAAAGACACAATGAAACTCTCTCTATATATATTCAAATGTATATCGTTTCAAAATTGATTCTAAAACTATTTATATCCCAAATATTGTATATGTATATTGCTAGTAGGGATACGAAACCGGATTGTTTTATAACGAAGGGAGATTACCAGAACTGACGGCAGCATCTCCGAATCGGAAGCATAAGTAGGTTTGATGATCTCTTTGATGTTAATCATCACTTCAAGGATGTCCTCTGGCCGTACTACCTTCGGGAAATTTTGGCCTAGGCCTTTTGCGAGGTTCTGAAGCTATCAAATATAACAGGTAATGAAATATCAGTGTGTGGGTTAAAGCTATTAATCGTATTTTGATGGCACATGAAACGTGTGAGAAGTACATTGTATATTTGTCTTGAAACATGTACCATTTCTAGGTTCGCAAGATCATAAAATATTTAAGTACTAAATTTGAAAATAACTAAACTTCAAAATTACTCGTACCTTTTCGACAAGTGTTTCTGCCGTCCATCCCAGAGAGACACGATGTATTGAAATTCAAATTGAAAAAAAAAATTCTATTTCATTCAAACCAGGGTGCCATCATATATAATAATGTGCAACATCATTTCAGATATGAATATTTTTTGTTTTGCAAAATTATGTCCCGGGGCTAATTGCTTGTAGTTGTACAGAGTCACAGGAGGTACATGTACAGTACAGCACTCTACTGCTATTATGAGGTTTGATTTCTTCTTTAAAGGCAATGGATAATTAATTGATGCCACGTTCTGTATAAAGGGAGGGTTTGCCAAGTAGAAATGTAGTCTTTTGGTGATTTTCTACATTGTAAAGAGTGGAAAGATGGTGACAACTTTTGAATTAATCTATTTCTGTTGGTCTGATAGTGAGTACACTGACTATACTAATGAAATGTACTTCATTTCCCACTGCATTCATAGGGCAATATAAACCTAATCTCTCGTGCACAGGTATGTTTTCATATCTGTAGTGGGTGTGCACTTATTACTCCGTGAAGGAGGTCAGGACCTCCGAAACGGAGTGTTGTGAACGGCTGGTTTTTCGTGTTCGCAGTCAAAACACTGGGTTCTCTTTGTGTAATCGGCACGCAATTTTATACGCCGTCTGCGGGCATGCCCGTGTTGATGCACGAATGTGTATTTTTGCCGTTGCTGCTTTCGCGGTCAATGTAATATTGCAGACGCACCCCTACAATTACGAGGCGAATTGGAATGGTCCAGAAAAACGCGTTGTTTGGAATAGCAGTGGGGGGGTGGAACTTCATGCAGACACGGGGTGGTTTTGATAAGTGGTTCCAGATGTTTTTGCCCATGGTTAAGAGATGGCAAGTTTTTTGGAAGATGTTCGCAGCCAAAACGCATTCTTCCGTACGTCGCATTTCTGTGTAATTTCGCATGTGGTGTTGCATTATGTCCGGGATGATGCACGTCTTTTTATATTTACCGTAGCTGTTTTGATATTGGAGTAAATGCATATTTTAGAAACATCCCTACTTTTACAATCCTGTGGAATAGGCCGTAGGTTTAGGCAGTTGTCTGGTAGCAGAGGTTCTCCAAGCAGATATCCCGGGTATCTGACCGGCGGAAGTAACACTCGCGGTGCTAGCCGCGACTGTTGCTGGAATTTGGCCTGTTCCAGTCGTTCTTAATAAGTAACAGGCACGGTAAGACGTTGTCTTCGTTAATATGATAAAGCCTAAATTACATTGTAAACATACTAAAGACCTTCATTTAAACCTTTTTTCCAAAAAAAAAAGGTTTAAATGAAGGTCTTTAGTATGTTTACAATGTAATTTAGGCTTTATCATGAAAATTCAAGATTGATGATCCAAGATGGCGGATATCTTAACTATGCATGGCGTCATTTTATGACGTCACCGGTGTTGCTATGGGCAACATAAGACTTAGTACACCCTAATATTCCGTTATAAACACTTTTGGTAAAGTTATGTTGTATACCATTTAGTTTTCAGGGAATAACCTATCTAGACGGTTTTGGCCAATAAAATCACATTAATGACGTCATAATGACGTCATAATGACGACATAAAAATTGTAGATATGCTAAATTTGTACTAGTACACCATCCTCTGAAAATTTGGTGGTCATGCGACATACCGTTTGTGAGTTCTGAGGGAGGGTCAAATGAGCCACCCCACCCCCACGTCCCACCAAGCCCAAAAAAGCCCGGTCTAAGTAGGGTTAAGTCTCAAAGACTACAGGTATCTTCATATTTCTGCTACAAAAGCTGTTACTGGGCCTCTTCTACTTGTACGTACCTGTTACAACACTTGTACTGGCGGCAAGGCTCCTCCCAAACCTGCTAACGGCCACCAACTCAATGTCATACCGAGTACCGGGAATCAGACCTGTCACTTCACAGTTGTCCACGTCTCC